CTTTCAGTCTCTTCACCCATTCCCCTTCATCCAGCACCTGCTGTCTTTGCATTCTTCATTGTACCCCTCGTCTGCTGCACTGCTCTCTAATTCTCTACTGGCTTTTCCTGTTCATTGTTCATCTCATCTCCTAATGTTTGTGCCCTCTTTTACGTCTCTCTCTTCTTTCTTTTATTCAACCACCTTCTCTTCCTCCCCACCTCCTCCGCCTTTCTCCCTCTGTGAGTCTTTAATCTTCTCTTCCTCTCTTTGTCTCCACTCTCTTTCTCCCTCCGTGGCACTCTTTGTAACATCCTGAATCCCAGAGCATCTTTGCTGAGAGACTGTCTCCTAATCTAATTGAGCAGGGATGATCTTAGTGTAGCGATTGTTTGGAAACCCTGGCAGTAGTACAGATGAGTCAACATACTCTGGACTTTCCAACAACACCTGTCAGGCCAGGTGGGCTCTGCCTGCAGCACACAGAGGGAGAAAGAGGTGGGCACAAGTTGGAGTGAGAGTCGGAAGGACAACAGCAAGGGGGGAGAACTAAAGTGAGAAAGGATGTGTCATCCGTCAACAAACTATAAATTGCCTGGCAGATTATTCCTGCAACTCTTAGGCACATTAAATTACATTACATTACATTACATGTTACTTGTTAGACGCTTTGATCCAAAGCAACTTACATACATTCAATACTGTGGGCAATCCCCACAGGAGCAATTTGGGATGAAGTGTCTTGCCCAGGGACACAACGACATGCTGACTGCAGTGGGGTTTGAACCTGTGACCCCCTGATCCGAACACCAACGCACAACCCACTGCACCATTTTTACGCCTCCACGAGGCACGAGTTGGTATCAAGAAATAGATAGATGGACAATATATATTTTCATAGAACATTATCCTATTATCCATGTCTCTGCATTGAAAAACATTCCAGTAATAGTTATGATAAATGTGTTTATATATCCTTTATTTAACCAGGTAAAGACTCATTGAGATTAAACTCTCTTTTCCAAGAGCGACCTGGCCAAGAAGGGCAGCATGAACAAAGTTACAACAAATGAACACAGACAATACAGGCAGACAAATACAGCTGTAAAACACTAATTAAATGGCACATTAGCCAGTCAATATGCAAAATAAAAGAAACTATTAAAAATCATTAAAAAACTGTCAAAATGTAAAACGACTTCAATTTTGGGATGTACGAGCACTCACATCTATATGGTTTCTTGTTCTCTGTCCTTTAAGATGGACTTGAATTCCCCCATAGTGATACAATCTGAGAGTTTCAGCTCCTTCTGTACATTAATCCAAGCAGAGGGGGCAGCATATTTAAAAGCTGTTTTACCCAGTTCTGTTCTTACTTTAGGAACCAGCATCTGAATAAAATCTTGTTTATGAACATGGCCAAATCTTGTTTATGAACATGGCCAAAAATAACGGCATAAAGAAGCAACTTTTCTGTATGTATTGGTTATGCAACAGTGTGAGCATGATTTCTTTTTTTTTTATAGTGCACATGGAACTCAATTATGACTTTGCAGCATAAGTGTCGGATTACAATTTTGTGTCACTTGCAACAAAAGGAAAGTTACAAGCCGGGGCAAAATGTAATTATTATGTTGAATAAACATCAAGCTGTGCTCTGTCCTTGACTTTACCCTTTGACAGCACAGATTCTTTCATCCCTCCAACAAAATCCATCTTTAGAGACAATTAATGCCACAAATCCCAGTCTTACCCTCCGTCAGTGGCTTCAAAGGGAGCGTGACCTCCTTGAAAATGAACAGACAAATTAAGAATCGTCTGGTTACATAAACAGCGTCTGTGTTTACAGGCTATGTGAGTGATGTTTCAATATGCTGACCGCATTGTGGTTATGTGTGCATGGATACATGTGTGAATGTTTGCTTACACACACACACAAAGTCTCTGAGTCACAGGAGAAACTGGCTATAAACTTAACATGCGAGTCAAACATTGTCACTTACTTATTTTGTATTTGTTTGCACTTATTAGCAAAAATGAGGTTGAACATTAAATAGGACGCTCTTTGGTGCAATGTGCTACATGTCACATCTCAGAAATGGTTACCTTTTCTATTACTCCTGAATATTTCTAAACAGAATAAGCGGACTTATTACCATTGAAATAAATGTAAAAAAGTGAAACACAGTTATTTAACACGCCTACCATTGTACACATAAGCACTTTTATAACCCATTGAATCATTCTAAAAGAATAGAGCTGCATATTTATACAGATTTGCATGCAGTGAGCAGAACTGCAAGAGGAATGAACTTTCAAGAATAAGCACACTCAGATTGTTCCGCTCAGCTATATTTTTTTCCTTTGCTTCATCCCTGAAAACTTAACTTCTTCAAGGAAAAATAAGCTTTCTTCTGGCAGCATTAAAAGTTGAGTTTGCCTGTGGCTTAAGCCTACAGAGACAGTGCGGGAGCCAGCTACTGTACCATATTCCAATAGTCCAGCCCGCACTCATTAAAGCAGCACAAAAGACTAATCACATCTGCAGCGCTTTGATTTACATGCAATTAAAGTTTCATGTGAACCCAGATAAACCAGACAGGAGGAGAGCAGAGAAGAGAAGGAGAAGAGAGGAGGAGGGCTGTGGGATAAGAGAAGAGGAGATTAAGGAACAGATGAGACGCCAGAGAAGAGAGCAGATGTGTGCAGAAACCAGGCGCAAAAGAGAGGAAGGTGGGGAGAAAAAGGAGAAGGGGAGGGGGGGGGGGAGTAGACAAGGAGAAGAGCCGAGAGGAGAGGAGAGGTGAAGCAAGCCATCATTGGGCAGAAGTGATGACACAGCACATCCATCTCAGTGGCAGGTGCCTGCTGTTGCTCCTTTACAGAGGACACAACATAACTGAGCTCTGCACCAGCGTAACACTGTGGTAATACAGCGCTCAGAGACAACAGAGATAATAAAGACTGCTGATTGTCTCATCTAAAAATGTTAGTTCATAAATAGTCCATAACTTTGCTCTACTTTTATCAGTATAGCATTATGTAAAACAAAATTGAATTAGTTTGCCTTTTTTAATCAGCTAAATGAGCACCATCAGCCTTTTACTTGATGCTCTAATTAGTTTATATCAATACCTATTCTTGCTACCCTGGCGTTGTTCGGGCATGTTCCTTTGATATTGACACCAGTACTAATCACAACTCGTAAAATGGAGAAATGACAACACATATTGTTCTTCTTCTTGGTTAAATCATTCCTTATCTTTTGTTCAGTCTTGGACTTCTCCAGTCTGCTGTTGAGCCGAGACTATGGACTTGTTTGCTCAGATGCTGCATTTGCTTATGTAACATAACGGTTCCAAAATCAGTAATCGTACTCTGCAGGCACTTGATATTTCCACTTGAAGGCACTGCTATATATGAAGGTAATGTGATGGATGCGTCTTGACAAGGAACGAACTAGTCAAGCGCAAAGAGAAGCAGCCAAAAACTAAGGGGGGAATTATAAAACAACAAGCTGGCTTGTTAATCAGCCAAATAATTGAACAAACAATGATGTAATTATTTTTCAAAAAGCCCACAGTCATAAACACAAACAATATGCATCTACTGTGGGCGGGTTGATCAGTGTGTGATCATTAACTCATCACCCCAGACACACGAATGGTTTCTAAGCGAGTTATATGTAAGGTTGGGCAGTAAATAACATCCTGAAAATAACAGGGGGGGAGAAGGGGAATGGAAGCAAGACGAGGGGGGATGGTGCAATAATAATGAAAGCAATAAAAGAGACACAATTTCCCAGATGTGATCTGTGCCTCAGTCTAGGCAGTCAATGTGTGTGACTGTGTGTGTATATGAATGTGTGTGTGTGTGCAAGGTTTTCTTTGTGTATGTTCCCACTGAGCTCTCAGATGAGTCAAAATGAGTCACATCATTCTATCAATCACCCACTTACAGTACAGCAATCCTTTCGTGTTGTGTGTGTGTGTGTGTGTGTGTGTGTGTGTGTGTGTGTGTGTGTGTGTGTGTGTGTGTGTGTGTGTGTGTGTGTGTGTGTGTGTGTGTGTGTGTGTGTGTGTGTGTGTGTTGCTTGAGGCCAGATTGAAGTCAAACATTAAAACTGCAGTCCTACACATTTCCACCCACTGAATAACCAATGAACTCCAAACTATAACTTTATACTGAAGCAGTGATTTATCTTAATCCCTGCAGTTTACCCTGCCAAGTTTCTGCTTCAGACACAGAGCAAACATAAAGTAGTTGGATACACAGTTACTTACAAAAAGGGAACCTGTATAATATTTCCTGTTCACTTCTTAATTTAGCTAAAAAGAAAGAAAAGACGTAGCACTTAATTCTTCCATAACCTTTTTGTTTTGGGGTAATCGTTCAAATGGACGTACACTGTGCTGTAAATGAAGTACGTATCAGTCCATCAGCAGTGAAAAACATCAGCAAGTCACCTGGTCATCCCTCTCACTGAAAAGATACAGCTGGTCTCATTGTCAATCCACAATCAGAGCTCCTTTCAAATAGATCTACAGCTGGAGGCGCTCCAGGGAATATGTAAACACACTCTGCAACGCATGCTCCCACAAACCGCGTTACACACTTCCCCAAGCTCTCTTTCCAACAAGTAAACCAATATGCAAACACAAGCAGGCATTAGCCCCGTTATTTATAAAGTAGATATCATCTCCCCTTGACCATACTGGGTTACACAATCAAACTCTTGGCATCTTCAATCCCACTCACTCTAGCTTTCTGCTGTCACACACACACTTCACATTCCTACTGCTAATATGAAGTGCATTCTTTTATTTCTGTATTTGTTGTTAAATTGCCTTAAAAATAGATGTCCACCTCCTGTCCTGTCTTCCTTAAATATAAAAAGCCTATTTTGGATGGACACAAAAGGGTTGCTTTGAAACAATCCCTATGTCACACAGATATTTAACATACTGATCACACACAGATCACCACTCCCAAATACAAAAGAAGAAAAAAAAGTCACTCACAAGAGTCCCTTTGGCTCCCGTCTGTTGCACCAGGCGTGGTGGACATCCCAGCAGGATGCTTGTTGCCCTCACAAGAGAACCAAAAGGGAAGGAGGGGGAAGGCAGACGGCACGACGATAGTACACCGAAAACTCCACCGATCACAACACCACCTGCCCACCACGCATCCTCACGCTGTCTCTCACACTGCACACATGCTCCTCCATACAAAAGAGGCTCCAGAAAGGCTCACACACACATTCTCATGCAGATCAGCTCGCAAGCACACACACACACACACACACTCGAAACGGTGAGCGTACTTAAGATCCCTGCACCCACGAAACACACACGTGCATGTATGTATGGGCGCTGCACCAATGTCTAGCTCCAGTGTGAGGACTGCTGAGGCTGACAGAGGAGAGAGAGAGAGGAGAGAGAGAGAGAGAGAGAGAGAGAGAGAGAGAGAGAGAGAGAGAGAGAGAGAGAGAGAGAGAGAGAGAGCAGTACCACTGCTGCTGCGCGAGGGAGGAGGGGGACCAGAGAGAGGCGGGGTGGGAGAGAGGGTGTGTGTGTTGGGAGGAAGGGAAATAAGGAGCACTGATGATTATGAGTGTGTGTGTGGTTGCACATGTTTTTATAACCCATGAACACAATTGCCTCTGACCTTTGAATAAACGGTGATGCCTCTTCACCCAGACTGCTTCTACATGGCTCGTAAATAAATACCTAATAAAGTGTAAACAGAGTTAAGATGGCAAAGCAACACAATAGAGTCACTTTCCAAAAGGTCAGGTTTTGTCCCTTCAGTTTTCATCAAGTACACAACACGGTCAAAAGTGAAACACACTCGCGCCCACGCCCACTCTGTCTGCCTCCACTGCCTGAGGAGGGGACATAATCATCTTCCTCATTAGCATGATGCTGTGAAGAGCATCTCAGCTCCACCTAGCTCTGTCTCCTTCTCTTATGTCCTTCACTAACTTCTCCTTTCTCTATTTCCCTCTGGGTTGCCCCCTCTTTTTCAATGCATTTGAAGTGCAATTGCAACCACTAAAGACACATGATTGCTGTATCAATTTTGTAAATGTAGGAATCAGAGAAGGGGGGAAATATCAAAATAGACTGGAATAATGCATATTTACATCAAACAACATAAGACTTAAGAGAACAAAAGGGGAGTGAGTCACTAAACCCTGAAGCATAAGGACACACACAACAAATCCACATAACGTCAACCCTGGCTTTCATCTTTATGACACATCATAGCCCTGAACGCCTGAGGGGCTTTTTGCAGGAGAAATAAGACACAAACACCACCAGCCACAATCAATAGCATTTAGATACAGCTTCACAAGTCACACTGCAGGGAGCTCCTCAAAAATATCATAAGAGAATTAGCTCTGGGTGATTATAACTACACCTCACAATGAGCTGGGGGGTGAAAAGTGCACCGGCTGGACTTTGGGAGGAACTCCTGAAACATGAAATCCTGCAGGGCAAGAAGAAGAAGTATTACAAAGATAATTGGAGCCCTCAGTTCACACATAAATTCTTAATCAGCTAATTAGAAATAACAGTTAACAGCAGTTAATTCAGATCTCACTGCACTGATCAACAAAAATATGTGTTGCTTAGCAACTACTTTCTTAAGCTGCTGTTCCAGAAGTAATTATTTAATGTTTTTTAATTGTTTTTTAACAGAACACATTATCTTCACCTTTTAATATAAAAGTCTGTTGCTTCTGTTTTTGTTCATTAGCATTTCAAGTGGAATCTAAAGCCTTGAAAGGGTTAAGAAAAGTAAGACTTCACCAACGTAGTGTGTTTTCAAAATGCTTTTTCACCATCCCGAATATCCTGATCCTTGACAATGATAAAGTCTGCAGAGATGTTGGACTGCACTTGCAGCTAGTTGCATAAGATACTAATGAAACCATGGGAACTTGATTAACATTTCGTATGTCTCTTCATACATACAAGGCAGGCAACTTCTGACCATGACACTTACCACATTCATCGTCTTAATATTTCAATAAATGCAAAAGAAAATACTGCACTCCTTTGCTTTGCAGATGTGAGAGATGGCAGCATACACCCAGTCCCTTGATCTGTAGCACTCCTAACCATTGACTAATGAGAATTGGGCTTACAGATATCAAAATGTTAACCAGTACATTAAACCATGATCCTCCAGCGAGGAAGTGGGTGGCAAATGTATGACTCATCGGCCATGTGAACGACCTCACAGCCCTTTTTCTAGTATAACAAAGATTCCTCCAAATAAATGTTTTTCATAGAAATCACAGCACTAGTTGAGTAATTCAAATCCACTAACAAGAATGACAGAAGTGTGCTAACATTACAGGATTACTTTTAAGATGTTAGAAAGTTGTATTTAACAGTATTATCTAGTAGTGTCTTCCACAAAATCTCGCTGTCACAGCTGCAGCATTTAGGGGCAAGAACGTATCCCCAAATGAACTCCGAGCACGTAATACCCAACAAAATGTGTATATATAACCAAGCCAATTTGGTTTATTAGCACTAACGGTGCAAACATTCATTGACCATTCACATTTTTCACTCTCAAATGTAAGAGGCTGTTTTTAATGTTTGCAACTCCACAACAGTGTGGGTGTGAAAAAATAACATCACTGCATTGTAAACTTGTAACTAATTTGTGTTTACAGAGCAAAGTGCTGGGAACTTAAGAACTAATGTGACAAAATGTTGAATCATTCCCTCCATGGCTGAAGCAGCAACTAATACTGGCCATTGTTCAGTGTATAGAGCAAACAGGTATTTGAAGATTAGTTATTTTCTTTAAATCTCTTGAATTCAGATTTTCTCCTCTCCTTTTCGAGAACCCTCCATCATCTCGTTGCTTTCCCTCCATCATGTCTTCCTGTGCAATAACTTCCTTTGTTAAACACGTTTTGATTTGACACTCAACCAACAATTACTAGTGATTACAAAACTGCCAAGTGTATTGAGAGGACTAACAGATGAGAACGAATAGACACAAAAATACAGTTGCCTTGGAAACAGAAATTCTGCAGTCCAGTTTTATGTAATCCATGCAGACACATGCCAAATTCTCCAGGCTGACAAACTTGTCAACTCTCTTGTCCAAGAGTCCAAAAGGAACAGTGCTTTTCTCTTTTTCTGTATTATTGATGTTACATAATCGCTGGGGAGCTCGCCAAATCTACTGTCTTAATACAAAACTGCAAATCCAAATTAAGAATGACACAACTTATTTGTATAATTTGAAATAACATCACTTTACCCAAGTACTTCAAATGTTCAGCAAACCAGCACTTTCTGGGTATCCTTCTATCTTTCATTTTTAGACAAAGGCTGATTAGTTTCTATCCCATCTCACCCAATAGAGTCAATATATTTCCGCTAATTTTAACCTTTGGATTTAGGACATAAGGCACCTAACCAATTCAAATCAATTTGAAACTGCCTATTAAAAAATTGAGATTAAGGAACCCTTAACTATACTAGGCACACAGTTTCTATAATATATATAGAAACAGGACAGCAATGATAGGCTAAGTAATGTATATCTTCTTGAATACTGTTCCTGAATTAGTGTTAATATTGGACCAAATTAAGCTGTGTATATATTTGCCAGTGATGGTGGCTGTGCAGCTGTTTTGTCAGCTGTCTGATGAAAGAGTTATACTTCTTCTCATCAAGTTGAAAATGTTGTCATTTTCAGAAATCCCTGATATCTCAGGGTGTTTCAAACTCAGTTACTCGTAATTCAATCTGATGATTATATGACGTGCGTGCAGCACAATCTAGACTAATGTTACAAGCTAACACAGGTCAGCCAACAGGAGAATACTAGCTGCAATGTGCCTTGATAGCAGCTGATGTCAGAAGCCAGCTTTATAATTCACCGAGCCTCACCATCTGCACCCCCCACCCTCTGAGGGCAGAAATGCTGTTTCAGTGTTACAGGAATGTCGGCTTTGTACCAGAAAGCTGAGCTTCAAAGCAACTTCATATTTAGAGCCATTGATCCCTGAGTGTCAGGTGCCATTATTTTTATCTTACTGATGCAAGTGGTCGATATGATAATCCTCCACAGGGGGTCCATTATCCCCTTTTGTCACCTATAAATGTCCAGCAATCAGGACAGACTTTTGTGTCAAGCTTCTGCTTTTCTGAGGGGAGCAGATTGATGCGGTTCAACCACATAGTGCCCCCCCCCCAGGTGCTTCTCTTTCAGTTTCACGGCATGACTAAACTAAAAGAGACCCTGGAGCAGAGCCGGAGGGATTACATTTCCCAGCTGCCCTGAGAATGTCAGAAGGAGCTGGGGGACATCAGTGGAAAAGTGGGCTTCATCGAGGCTGCTCAGCTTGATCTGCTGCCGCCACGACCCTGACCTGGATCTGTGACTTGAGTTTGGATGGATGGACTAATACAATCTTCGTTGGCTGACACTGTAGATTCAAGCTAGTGATGTTTTTTTCATCACAGGGACACATTTAAATAAAGATCTCTTTCTTTATATTTTTAAGCAGTTCATTTATAATTGTTTATTGCAGCGGCTTGTTTGGGTTTTGTAGGAACCAGCCTAAATCTAAATGTACTATTAAGCAGGCAACATAAACTTTAAGTCTATGTCAACATGTCATCCTCCATAAATATATAGTCACATTCCGGGTCTAAATGGGTCACCTTTTAGTACATCCCCTCAGGGCCAATGGCTGAAATAAAGTGGCATGAGAGATTGTGTTTTTTGAAAAGTAGATAAGTTAACTATTTACAGTGTAGTGCACCACTTCTGCATGATCACTAATTTAGTAAAAAAAAAGGAGAATCAGGTTTTCTTCAAATCCATTCAGTTGTGTTTGATATTTTGTACACAGTGTTGTGCCCAGTGGGATTGTGTTGGCAGGCCAACTCTTCATAAACTAGAAAATAGATATTTAAGGAAGAGAGAGAGCAGAGAAGGCTACACTGGAAGAAATAAAGGGAAAGGCCATTGCCATCTTTGTGCTGTAAAGTAGACCCAAACTGACTGCTTACGTTTGTCATCCCATATGTTAATATGTCATTCTCAAGCAGTTCATTTTTCTAATCTATCTTTCTCTTGTTCTAACTCTCACTGGTATAGTGCGAGTGATTTTAAATGTCTATCCTGCAATCTGATGAAGGCCAACTCGTACAAAGGTGGGAAATTGTTGCCAGGCAACTCTACACCTCAGGCACTTCTCTTTATCTTTTTTTCCTCATTTGGATCACACTTTTTTTGACATCACCACAAAATAAGAGCAGTTTAAAGTGGGTTATTGTCCCAAACTATCTTATTGCAGGTGAAGTCA